GAGATAGTAATTATCTCACCTTTTGATACTCTAATATACTAATAGTATAACTATTTACCAGTGTACTAATGAAATAAATATTTTTGCTGTGATAATTTCATTCCAGTTCTATGCTACTTGATTATATTTCTTTATTTACAGACTTTCTGTATTCATTACCATTCAAATTTCCTTTGCAAAGTTTACTTTTTTGAGATTTTTTAATATGTCAAGGTCTCCATAATCACCATGTTAAAGACCATACAATATACTATCTTCTCTAATAAAACGATATAATTTACTTAATTTATATGGTGATACAATATTGCATACAAGTTTTAAAACTAAAAGTGTAAAAATGCAGACCAGTGCATTAAATTTGTTACAAACAAGTATAATATAAAATACTATCATTTTGAAGTCTCCGTACATACTTTGGTTTATAATAATAACAACAAGATCATACAATGAAACCTTTGCATTGTGCAACTACTAATACTATAAAAAAACTATTGAATGGCATACATTCATCTGCTTTTCATCATCAAGCAACAAGTGGGGATTATATTATGTAACGTCTGATATGACCTGCAGCAAAAAGTCACTATTATATATTGATGATAAGGTTTAGGGCAATTAGTTGTAAACAAGCTTACGGCTGCAGTTGTGGAGTTTTGCTTTAATTTCAAAGAACACGCCAAGAAATCATATTAAACAAAAACATAATTAACAAATGAGACATGATATTGTATTTTATATCATGTGTGGTTTGTACTATTATTTTTGTGTTTTGCCTTCATCCTCAAACCACTCACTGAGAATCATTCTATGCTTTATTTTCTTTAACCGACTTTGATTAAAAATTTCATGTGGCCATAATAATAAATGGTTATCCCATTAGTATATATAAAAACCTTTTATCAGTGACATGCTACACACAATTTCAACAATGGGAAAAGTTTGTCCCCAAGCACTAGAATCCTCTACTACCTGCAGTTTCACTTGCAAGCAAGAAACTTTTACCCTATGGATGAAATCTCTTGTACTGAATGGAAAAGGGTGCACTGTTTTTGATTCCAATGGCCAGATTGCATACAGAGTTGATAACTACAACTGCAAGCATAGAGCAGAAGTTCATCTCATGGACCAAAATGGTGATATTTTGTTCACTATGCTAAAAAAGGTAAGCAAATTTCATGCACAGTCTTTCACATAAAATAACTGATGTATAACATTATTTTAGTCTTTTGTGGTTTCAGCAATATAAGTTGTCCAGATTCTGGGAGGGTTAAAGATTTCCAGCAACAAGAAATGACCACAAAGGACCATGCTTTCGAGTTTCAAAAACTTATAAGATCTCTAAAGGGGGTTCGATCTATGAAGTTGAACTTGGTTTGGACAAAAACCAACCCTATATTCATAAAATAGAAAGCAGCACCTGCAGTTCAGCTTGCAAAATATCTAATGAGGTTGGAGTGGTGGTTGCAGAGGTAAGGTTTCTTACATCTTGTTAATCAGCAAAGTTTAACACCATTAATTTCATAATTCCTCAAATATCTCATGAACTCAATTCATTCATCTTTAATATCTATCAGCAAAAGGGAGATATGCATAAAAACAAATGCATTAAATGAAGATTGTTTAGTTGGTTTTTCTTTTCTTTTTTTACACGTGTAAAAATTATGAGAATGGGTAAGTTTTAAATTTAAGTAATGGTTGGTTGACACACTTTTACATTTTGACACACACTATAAAGGTAAAATAATCATAAAGAAATGAACTTTTGTATTTTTTCGAAAAAGAATAAATTAAAAAGTAAGAAATGATAGTGTCAAATGAATGTAAAAAATTTATCTGTGTCAAAGTATCATTTTTTTTTAATTTAGGAATAATGGTATCTTGACACACTTTTACATTCATTGACAGACAATATAAGAGTAAAATGGTCATAAAAGTGTAATTTTTTGTATTTTTTTCAAGAAGAAAGAGAGTAAAAAGTAAAAAAAAGTAGTATCAAATCAATGTAAAAAAATTATGTGTCAAAGAATCATTTTTCTAAATTTTAGAGTAGAAAAATGATTATTTGACACATCTAAATTTTTACATTCATTTGAGACTACCCTTACTTATTTTTTCCTCTCTTCTTTCTTAAAAAAATACAAAATTTTACATTTTTATGACTATTTTACCCTTGTATCATGTATCAAATGAATGTAAAAGTATGTCATAATACCATTTCTCTTTAGAGTAATGATAAAGTGACATATCTTTACATTCATTTGACACACATTACAAAGATAACATAGTCATAAAAAAGTGAATTTTTGTACTTTAAAAGAAGAAATAAAGTAAAAAGTAAAGAAAAATAATGTCAAATGAATATAAAAAATTTGTATATCAATGTATCATGAACTAAGTCATTTGTCTTTTTTGGAATTAGTTTCTGAAAGGGTGAAAGCGTGTTTGGAGAGCACGACCTTAGTGATGTGCTGATCTCGTGATGGGTGTAATGACTTAAGATGTTTTAGTACCACAATAAATAAATATATATATATATATATATATATATATAGAGAGAGAGAGAGAGAAAGTAGAAGAACATAGTAGAAGGATTTTAGAATTGTTATTATTATTTTACTTATACCTGTTTTTGTGTTTGCAGCTAAGGAGGAAGAAGTCACATAGTGGAGTTGATTTAGGAGAAGATGTTTTCACAATGGTAGTGGAGCAAAATATAGATCTTTCTCTAGTTATGGGACTTGTTGTAGCATACAATCTTATAAACTCTAAAATGTAAGTATTTTGGAAGCAACAGTTTCCACAACAGTAGTGATTTACATATTGAGTGAGAATTATAGCACATCGATTGCTAAATACAATTTCTGTGTTGAGCTTTGCAGAAAAGTGTGCGTGTGTGATTAATCAATCACAAAATGATTGAAATCAAATTTAATTTTACTTTTGTTTTCTTTCGGAAATGCAGCCTTTGATTCTCTACATAGAAGTGTTAATGATATGTTCTTTAGCATAGTTTCTTTTACGATAACGATACTTTGACAACATTTCTTTTACAATATTTTAACATCATTTACGTATTATTCTGTGATTGGTTCAAAATTACTCTACAATCAATAATAATAATCATAAACACCAACATGAACCAATCACAAAATCACACGTAAATGATATTAAAATATTGTGAAAAAAATATTTTCAAATATCATTATCTTTCTTTTATATTATAGGGTTAAATATGTTTTTAGTCCCTAAACTATTGACCGTTTCTGGTTTTCGTCCCTCTTCCAAACTAAGGTACGATTTGGTCCTCAATCTTTAAAAAACGTTCGTTTTAGTCGAAAAAAACGAACGTTTTGAGGACTAAAACGAGGACTAAAAACAAAATTTTGAGGACTAAAACGAACGTTTTTCTAAAGAATGAGGACCAAATCGTACCTTAGTTTGGAAGAGGGACGAAAACCAGAAACGACCAATAGTTTAGGGACTAAAAACATATTTAACCCTATATTATATTTGAAATAACTTGTTCTATCTTATTCAATAATTTTATATATTTAAGAATTAAAGTTTAAATACTTTTTCTTTTTTCATTCTTTGGAATATTTTTTAAAAAACAAAATTTTAATGAACAAATTTTCTACATAAATAACACACCATCTTTCAAATTTTCCTAATATATATCAACCCTAAGTTTACATTTATATTTTTAAGTCTTAATCAACATTGGTTTATTTTTGAGTTAAATCCTTTAAATAGTTTTCTTGGAAAAAATCAACTTAAATTCCTAATTATTTCAGTAAAAGAGTCATTGGAGGATTTGATTATAAATATTTAAGAAAATTAGAAGTGTAAATTCAAACGGATGAATTAGAAGTGAAAAAAAGGATTAATTCATTCGATGTTTAAGATTTAAGAGGCTTTGGCTATCTATTTTATGTTGATCCTACAAGTATAAAGCTAATCCTCTACATTTTTAATTTGGAAGGAAAAATATTTTACTTCAATATTTTTTATTAAAAAAGGTATAGAAAAAATGTCTTCTTCAGCATAGAGCCTGTTTGGGTTTTTTTAAATGATAAGTCAAATTCTCACATATATATTTCATAATGTTCATTTACGTATTCGATTTAATACTGCTAAATATTGCTTAAAATGATTAATTGTTAACATTCACAATTAATAACTTCTATAAGCACTTCCTAAAATTTGTAAAAATGTTCTACAAAAATTAAATAAAAACTATTAAATTATTAAATTTAAATTTTATAAATTTAGTAATTGTATTCTAGTTGTATTTTTTTTGTGTGGAATAAATATAAATAATCGTGTATTAAGTTAAAAATACTTGTTTTAATGCTTACATAATTTTCCAAATTTCTTCAATTCTAAAGATTAACTTAAAACTTATGCAGAATTAGTTTAGATGAACATTGTTTTTACAAAATACTATTCATTAAATTATTTTTATATTAATACTTATAAAACAAATTAAGTTTATCAAATAATTGGATTTGTTTTCCAAAATATTTCAAAAATAATTAGGTTTCAGAATAAATTTGAATCTACCCCCAAAATAATTGGCCTTTTAAGTTCGCACAACTCCTAAAAAAATTCTTTACAAAATTCTAAGATAATATAAGATTAAAAATGATAAGTTCCACCTTCCCAACCCGATTCGAACCCAAAACCCGAACCCAATTTCAACTTCGTTGTCAACGTCATCGTCTTCAACCGCCTCGCCGCACTCTCCCGGTGCCTCCACTCCCTCGCCGCCTCCGAATAAGCTCCAAGAGGTGCCTCAGATCTTGAAGTTCGTGGACGCGATCGATGAAAAGGTTGTGCATTATAGGACGGGCAATGTGGCCTGCACGCCCTTTGGTTGAAAGCCTGGTGTGCTGCTTCCGATCACGTGTTCGCCTTCCTGGTGGAGGATGGCATAGATGTTTCCTCGCTTTACCATGAGTTCGTTAAGGCGCTGATTCCCAGTTTCTACTACGATGCCTCCAATTATAGCCTTCCATCTTTGGTGTTTGGTTGCAACGAGCAAGGTTTGTTCCAGCTATTGTTTTCTCTTGTTTGTTTATTCATCACTGCTTAATATTTGGCATTTGTTTGTTGGTAGATGGTGAGGTTTAGTTTACATATGTTAGATATCAGGAACCACTGAATACAATTAAACCTTTCAAAATGTATTATAGGAAAATGGGGGAAAATAGGATTTAAACCTGATCTATCTTTTAGCTTGTTATTTAGGATTTCTCGTATGAGTTAGTTTCTGTTTCTGGGTTATTGGGTGGATGTTAGTTTTGAAGGTTCCCCAACCTTCTTTGAATATAAGTTCTTAACTGTGTGTTGCCATGTTTCAGTATTTGGTTCCTGTTCATTATATTTTTCTGTATAGTATATGATTGAAGAGGAGAAGAGCATGAAGCATGCGATTTGACATGTGATTTGAAAACGCAATTAAACTTATTGTCAAAATATATCTAAAGGAAGTGCACTATATTTCAAATGTTACCCATGTTAACTCAGAAAGGCTGCGTATAAAATAAAATGGTCATGCTTAGTAATATAGTAGATGATTTTTAGAACATGTAAAGTGTAACTGCCACTCATCAATGAACCTGAGCACAGGCATCAAAACTGAATGCTAAGCCTGAAGGCTTCAATGAAGCTAAGCCTGAAAAAGGTAACGGAGAAAAGAATCAGATAAGGGAATGCCTGAGCATGAATGACATACCAAAATGCAAAGACATGGAATTGGAAGCTCCGAACATGGCAATGAAAATTGAGCTTTTGGATAGAGAGGGGAGATGAATCAGTTGGGATGGGAGTATCCCTTGTGAGTTGTCAAACAGGAGAAAGTATATATCGTGCTATAAAAAGACCCGTGGGATGCATTTTTTTCTTCCACATGGCACAACCCAGCTGATAACCTTGCATATTTAGAACTTTGAGAAAGGTTGCCAGTTCCATGAGTTTACAAGTAATCCCGGAAATCCTATTCTGATCCCAGCAACTTGTGATACTAGGTTTGAAGGCATCAGAAATGGCAGGAAACTCTTTACGATTAAAATCATTATAAAATAATGGATACTAGCCTTTGTTAAGGAGCAATGGGAGTGCCACCAATCTGAACCTTATCCTGTGTGTTACTATGATTTTGAAAATGGAGATGATAAACTAAAGATCTGGACAAGTTCTTTGCTAATCCACTTTGTGTAACTTTTGAAATGTGATTGCAATATTAGTTATACTCTGCTTATTCAATACACCGGCACAGTTCATTGAATATAATTAGTTTCTGGCCTCAGGTAAACATGGAAACAAATTACAGATGAATGATAAGACACGGCTTTTCCTAAATCAGTTATTTGGCACATGGGATCAAATTCTCTTTCCAAAGCCACGGATAGAGTTCAGGCTGTGGTATGACGAGAACATGGCAAAAGGGCAATAGGCCATTTCTTGAGGGGATGGTAATAAAATGCTTTTCAAGAGAAAAACATATCTTGTTCTTTAGTCTCATCTAATTCTCAGTTCTGCTCTCTTATACATGTCAGCAGTTCCTTTCATTCCTAATTTCAGTTCTGAAAAATTTTCCAGGTGACTATACAATATGGTATAAGAAAAGGGTAGAGAGGAAAGAGTTTTAAGTGTTTCTCACAGAGCTGCTGGAGTAAACTTTAGGAGAACAGCTAATTTAGCTTGCATATTCTTTTGACCTATTTTGTGTGATCATTTGTAACAAAATTAAGTCAATGCGAGGCTTAAGATGGGACAGTAAACTGAGTCGAATTATGTTCTCACGATTGAATTATTTAAACATCTAAATCTCTTGATATTTTTATTTTCATCATAAATATAGATGCTTTTAAGGGAACGTATTAAATGATTTTTGTTACTTCCAAAAAAGGAGATATTGGTCTAAAAACTATCAATTCTCCAGGAGGATTATTCTCTTTTGAAGTGAATAATATATCAACATTCACCATATTTCTCAACAAAATATATAATTATTTCACCCTGGATTTTGTTTTTGATTTATTAATTAAAAATAATTTCTAAAGTGTAAAAGTAATATAAAATAACCGATTGGCTGATTTACAGGAAGTGAGACGAGGAGGAATTGAATGGAGAATCGGAAGACATCAGCGTACTACGAGAACAGAGCGGTGCAGTTCGGGGTAGTGAGCACCGATTGGCTTGCTCAGGCTCAGTCCGCCACTGTCCCTCGTACCCCTTCTCCTCCTCCTCCATCTCCTCCTCTTCCTCCTTCCCACAATGACGCCGACGAACCCTTCTCCGTCATCCAGGAGTTCGACACCTGGCGCAAGCACCCCGATTTGGCGGAGGCCGTCGCCGCCATTCGTGCCTTGGCCGCCGTTATCCGCTCCAGCAAGGCCACCACCATGATGCAGCTCGAAATCCAACTCAAAAGCGCCTCTGATTCCCTCAAAGTAACCACCCCCATCCCTTCTCTTCTCATTGAAATTGATTTTGTGATTATTATCATTAACCGATTCTGTTCCGGTGTTACGCTGCACACAGTGTTGGGATACAACCTCAATCTCCTTAACCGCCGCCTGCGATCTCTTCATGCGATACGTCACCAGGACTTCCGCTCTCGAGTACGAAGACTTCAATTCCGCCAAGTCTCGCTTGCTCGAACGCGCCGATAAGTTCGGCGAAATCTCCTTCAAGGTAACTCACTCACTCACTCACTCAATCACTCCCCCACCCCCCTTTCACTCACTCGCATCATCACTCTTTCAATCGGTTCCTTTTTCAGGCTCGCGAAATCATTGCAATGCTGAGCCAGGATTTTATATTCGACGGTTGCACAATTCTTGTTCACGGTTTCTCCAGAGTCGTGCTTCAGATTCTCAAACTCGCTGCACAGAATAACAAGCTCTTTAGAGTCTTGTGCACAGGTTCTGCTCTCTCTAAAGCAACGAGGTTTTTTAGTTTTGAAAATATATTTACCGCTTTAATCTCTTAATTATTGTATTCTGATTAAGTTCAAACAGTGATTTGAAGAATGTTTTGTATTTGAGCTTACTACTCAGCTTGATTTCTATTATTGCCTGAATTAGCTAAATAGTTTTTTAAGGAGTAACTAAGAAAGAGGGTAATATTTTAAGGATGGAATTGATGGATCACTCTTAATTTTTAGAGGGGAGACCAGATAGAACGGGTTTGCGGTTTTCCAATGAGCTGGCGAAGCTTGATGTGACTGTGAAACTTGTTATAGACTCTGCAGTGGCTTATACTATGGATGAGGTTGACATGGTGTTTGTTGGGGCAGATGGAGTTGTTGAAAGTGGTGGTATAATCAACATGATGGGAACTTACCAAATTGCAATGGTGGCTAAGAGTATGAACAAGCCAGTTTATGTGGCTGCTGAAAGTTACAAGGTATGCTTTGATTCCATTTTTCTGCGTAGTTGTTATATTGATCAATAGGAATTTGATTAGAATACACTACTGTTTAACACGGTAATTTTTATGACTTAATGACTTAGGCCATTGATTAAAAGTGTCAAGAGTCTTGGCTTGTTTTATTAGTACAGTATGTTATAAGAAGTTATAAGAAAAGAGTCTTAACCAAAAAAATCAGTTGATTCCGTATGAGAACCTCTTAGACTTAATTCAACATTATGCTTCTTCTTCTGCTCAAAGTGGAATTTATAAGAGTCACCCAATAATGGTTCCCATGTATGAACAATGGTGAGATTATCATGTTTTGTAATAGACAGTTTCCTTAAAAGTTGGGTATAAAATTCTGTCTAATTGATTGTTAGAATAAGATAATTACCGTGTATCAAAATAAAACTCGATTAGTAATGGACCTGCTACATACCTGTATGTAATTGACAGTTTGCTCGATTTTACCCTCTGGATCAAAAGGATTTGGCCCCTGCCTTACGCCCTGTTGATTTTGGTGTGCCTGTTCCATCCAAGGTTGAGGTTGAATGTTCTGCGCGGGATTATACTCCTCCACAGTATCTCACTCTGCTTTTCACTGATTTAGGTGTTCTTACTCCATCAGTTGTTAGTGATGAACTCATCCAGCTATACTTGTAGTTATTCCTTTATAACTATCTTTCCATTCATTTAAATTGTTCGCCTCACTTCAAGATTGTGTTTTATGACATAACTTTGTAACAAGACATGCACTAGCATGTTCAGTGTAACCAAGGATCTCTGATTCACGTCAGACACCTAACGAATTAGTCTAAATTAGTTGACCTTCTTAGAGTAACCCGTTACCCGTTTTTAAAGATATAAGACTTCGTATCAACATTGAATCCCCACAATCCCCCTAATAGGTTTATGTGGTCCCTTTATTTACATACTAGTTATTTTACTGATTTTTAATTGATGTGGGACTTTAGACTCACATTTAAACATATCAATTTCTTCCTAAATTGGTCTATGGAGTTTTCATTTTTAGATATTAGTCATTTTCCACAAGTTTTTATCTCATGTGATGTTTGAGACTTGAATGAATCTTAACAATCTTTCCCTCATCCTTTTTACTTATTTACTAATATTGTTACTTGATTGAGTTCTAAAAATTTCCATTTATGAGATTTCGAGTCCAGACTCCTTCTACTTAGATGATCTTATTCACTTTTACCTTGATTTGATTGAAGATTCTCTTTTTCACCCTGCCACCTCTATTTGTTACATTTTGAAGGCATAAATTTTTTATCATACCGAATTTGACTAACAGGTTTTTATGAAGCCACAACCTTTAGTCCTTCCAAAGTTAATGCGTATTTTGAGGAGTACTTCAACTCCGTAAGCACATTTATGTTTTAAATGCATATTTCACTAGACAATAAATAAAAATGGATTAGGAAATTTTGTTTTTCTAAATGGCTCTTTTCCACATAAATTTATATCGGATAGAGATATACATGGTCTTAAAAGAGGAGTTTTTTTTATCACAAATTACTTTAAAATAAATATATATTTTAATTATAATCAAAACTTTAGCTTGTTTTTGTCAAAACTAATTTTAATAAACTAATATAATTCAGTTAATTTCATAAACCATCATTCACTCAATATACACATGGGTTTGCATAGTGATTAAACAAATTTTCTGTTTCAGAAGTAATTAATGTAACAGAGAATCTAATTCTGACTACATATAAAAACTTTTTGAAGTATTTATAATGTCATGTTACCGTAAGTAAGATTGTCTAAAAAATCCTTGTGATATGAGTGTAAAATATACTTAACTAAGGCCATAATGAGTAGCCACCTATGAAGCATAAAACCCAAACTCTGCAATCAATCATCCATTGAATAGACACAATAAAAGAAAAAGAATCGAGCAAGAAGAATTATTGAAGCCATTTTCACCCAATGAGTTTGCAAGAATCTATTCTCCAATGGGTATGGGAGGGACTAATCCTTTTAGCTGGAAGCACATTTGGAAAAAGAAATTTCATACTTTGTTTTTTAAGAGAAGGTGAAAACTGAATTGGGCTCTTCTTGGGGAGGGGTGAACAGGAGGGATGTCATTCTCATATTCTAATTCTCATTCTCAACAATTCCAATTTTTGAGGAAAAATGACAATCACGTTATTAGTTTCAATCATCAAGTTTACACTTTAAATCCTGTGTTCACTAATATATTTTTATAAAATGAAAAATATATTTTATTGTGACGGAGAGTTGGTATTCGTAAATATTTATTATAAATGGTAGTAAATAGTGAATATTTTAATATCTATTTATAAACGAGTTAGACGTGAATATTATATTATTAGTGTCCGTAGATATCTATTACTTGCAAAAAGTTTAAATAAAAATTTAATTTATATTTTAAGTTAAAATTAATTTATATTGTATTAGGTTAAATTTAATTAAAATCAAAATTTAATTTAATTTATATTATATCTTATTTATTTATTTTATAATTTTATTTAGATTTTATTTTAAAAATTTATAAAATATTTTTTTTTAGATATTCGTGGGTATCTATGAGTTTTATTATCCGTGTAAATACTTTTTAAACGAATATCCAATAAATAACAAGATGGATAATGGAAAGATTATTTTAGTATGGATGAGGTAGCAAGTAGACATTATCTATGCTCAACCCTCATTCCTATTCCTATAAATGGTAGGAGTGTGAGACAATTCTTCATAATTAACTATAATGTGTGATGCTTGCTACGGATAACAATGGATTAAATACGTATAGTCACTACCAAATTTACACTAAAATTCTATAATATACTTCAACAAATATTTTGGGATGGTTAAATTTTATTTTGTGAATACAAATTTGAAAGAGGAATACATCTAATTTAATAAAATAAAATAAAATCTTTTATTTATAATGTTTGTGTTTTCAGGTTCAAATTATAAATTAGTTAGAAATATAGTTAAAATTACATTTTGAACAATATTAAAAGTAAAATTTTAACATTACTATTTGCTAATTAAACTAAAAGTCACTTTTTATAATATAATTCAATATATACACACAAAAGAATCTCTCCTTGACACAAACTAATTAATGAAATGAATCTTTTAAAACAATGAAACTATATATAACTTTAATATTATCTAAATAAAGTAGTTATATATGCAAATAGTATCAAAAGGTTTTATACTATTATCTTTAATAAATTACGATAATAATATTTAGTAATCCAATACAAAATTGATTAAGAATTCAAGTTGGAAGTTTCCACCCTAACTAAAAACAAATAAGTTGAATGATATACATAAATAAATGAATTCATAAATTAATTATTTTAAGATTTTGAGTTACGATATCTTAAGTTTTTATACATAAATTTATTTACTACTTATAGTTTGATTCATTTTGGTGAGGATTCAACCATGGTCCAAGTGTTCTCCTCAAGAAAACTCACATTGAAAATTCTTTTATTATAGAAAAATATATTCTATCAAGATATTTTATAATTGAGTTATACATTATATATATTAAAGGTACTTTTTGTTTTAAAATTTGAAATTATATTAAGATTTTATTTTTAAAAAATGCAATGAAAAGTTAAGAGACAAAGTAAATATAAAATTATTGGATATAGAGAACAATAAATGATGATGAAATTGACTTATTATAGAGGTAAGCGAGACCATGAAGAACATATATTTATTACATATAAGTGGTTTTTGTTTGAATGAGATTCTAGTTAAGTTGATAGGTAGATTTAGTGTGTAGTTTGGGCAGAAACTTCTCCCTAAGCTCAGCAGCATCAACTTCACCAAAATGTTTCTCAGGAATCCAATTTCCAGTCTTTGGATCTCTCATCCAAAACTTATCTTCTTTATTTGCTTTTCCTTTCACTCTTTTGCCTTCCATTTGCATCCTCAAACTCTCTGTTACAACACTACACCATCGCTTCCTGCACCATTAATGCCTTCATATATTTAACATGTTGCATACCATAAAACAAAAACAGTACACAATAAACTATGGACAACTTCTTTCTCAATAGTTAAAATCGTTAAAGAAATGTGTATATATATATTATAACACCAAAAAATTTATGATATTGTCTTGAAGTTTTGTGAGAATGGATTATAGTGATGCAAAGCAGAAGAATAAGAGATGAGAGTGGTGGGGTTAACCTGAGAAGGAAAGAAGAAGGGTTGACAATAATGTTGGCCATGAAAAGCAGAAAGTGAAGGAGAAATTAGAGAAATGTGTTTTTTGAAGGATGAAGGGTTGGTTTGGAAGAATGAATCTTATATAAGAGAAATGAGTGAGTGTGTGGTGTTTTCAGAAAGGAACATTAACTCAAGCAGTTATTCCTTAGGAATATTTATGTTGAATCCACGCCATGATAGAATCTGATATAATCCTTTGATAACTTCTTTCTCCTTTCTTAACTACTTCTAATCAAATTCCTTCGTGAGAATGTTCTTTTCTTTCAAAAAACATTATAAATGCTACCGTGTAATTTTAGTATTTTGAGTTAGAATCTTCTATACTAACTTTCCCAAATTTTCAGAAAGGACCACGTTGATTGAGAATTTTAAAAATATTAGGGCGAGATTGATTATAACTTGTAACAAATTACTATATTAAACAAAAAAGACACTTAATATAAAATTGATTGGAGAGAAAAGTTTAAAAGAAACCTTTCATGGTAAATAGGATTGATTCGAGATACAAAATCAATTTTATAGAAACAAATTGGTATTCCAGAAATAACTTTACTTCATAATCTAAATAAATCAATTCTTTTAATTAATTCACGTTTGAGATGTTATTTTCAGCCTTTTTAATTTAGGGTTAAATATGTTTTTGATCCCTTAACTTTCAGCGAAAATTGGAATTAGTCCCTCTTTAAAACTTTGGCCTAATTTAGTCCCCAAACTTTAAAAATGTGTGAATTTAGTCCTTTTAACTAAATTTTGTTTTTGATGTTTTAGGTGCGTTTCATGATAGCATTTGAGTTGTTTATCTAGTTTGACACATTTTTGCTTCAATGTTCACTGATAAATGCGTTTGAAACATCAAATAAAGTTAACAAATTTTGGTTAAAAGGACTAAATTCACACATTTCTAAAGTTTGGGGATTAAATTAGTCCAAAGTTTTGAAGAGGGACTAATTCCAATTTTTTCTGAAAGTTAAGGGAACAAAAACATATTTAACCCTTTAATTTATAATACCTTTTAGAAGTAGTTATTTCAGTAGTTATTTCAAAATTAATTAGGCCAAAATATAAACTTCTCCACGTTGTACAATTAGTATAACTACCCACTTAACACCTTGTCGTATTGAATATAACGACCTAATTAGATTCTCTGTTCGATTGCAGGGACAAAGAGAATCGGTATTTTTTCTATTGTGCAGCACGTATCAAAATATTAGGAAATGTTTACAAAATATTGTTTTTGACATGTGTTTCGAAACATTAGAACATATCCCAAATGCAAATGGCAAAAGTAAGTTTATTCTTTTTTAGTTAGTATGGGATGCATCGTCTCGTCATCAATAATAATAATAATAATAATAATGCTTCAAAACAGAAAAAAGTTACAATTTACACGTTAGTTTTAAGTGAAGATTATATATTATATCCTTTTTTTAATAAGCATGTTACTTTTTTTATTGGAGTTATAAAGGCGGTAGATTTTTCAATAAAATGTAATTCTTGATAAAAAAAAAAGAGCAAGTTTGTTCTTGAAGTTTCATTAGACAGCCCATTCACAAAAGAAAATGCAAATTCTCAAAACAGAATAATTTATACTTAAAAAGTAGAATTAAAAGTGATTCTAAGTAAACTAAAAGTCTTAAAATTATGTTACGAGGTGCTTATTCTAATTTTGATAAAAAAAAGTGCTTTTTATCAAAATAATCTCTTCCCAAAAAAGTATTCCTTCTGTATTCAAAAGTTGTCTTGGTTGTGAACATATGAGCAATTAGATCGTATACAGAACGCAATTATATGAGCAATTATATAAATTATTTTTTTCTATTTGACATCACTCAATCAAATCTGACAACCAAGTAGTATTTGAATATAATAAAAAGACTTGAAAATGATATGCTTAATTAAATCATATAAACATTCTCAGTGCAGAAGTCTATACACATTTTCCTTTCAATACAATAGGACACTCGTAATAAACTAACTCTGAACTCACAATGGAGAGTTTGATGTGATGGGATCGGAAAGTGGTAAGAGTTCCATTATCTGAATTAGGAATTTTTGTTCCCCTTAATTAATAACAAAGGTGAAAGGGGTTCGCCTAATCCTAATGACATTTCTGTTGATTGACCTAATTTTAATTTTTTTTTCCTCCTATATTTTACTAATCTATCTAAAACATAGAGTACAGATAAATCCGCAAAGCAGGTAAGTAATTTGTCTGCTCTTCCAGAAAAGAAACCATCAAAGGAGTCGTGAAGGCATTGACCCTTGAGAATACCCATTACCAACATTTTGTTTCTTCTTGAAATTTGTAACACTACAATGAGGACATATGTATTCTAGCCCATCTGTTTTTGCATAATCCTGCAAAAGTTGTCAATTAAAGACAAGAACCTTAATATAATTAAAAGCAAAGTGATATTATTTTTCTCTTTATAACATCAAGACTAATCGCATATACAATAATTCTATGTGATGAAGTAGTACCTTAAATGCGCCTAGACCCTGCCTTCTGTCACAGCCAAAGTGGGCCCACTCACCACATATGCCACAATTCACCCAATCACCAGCTGCGCTACTGTTTAGCAGTAATGAGTGTACATAAAAATTATATATTAGCTGTTGCTACGGTTGCCAATCATAAAGTGAAAGATACATTAGGACTCTTAAAATAATGAGACTGCATAGCTTCATTGGATTAAAAAATATTAAGTACAAACCTGTGACACAACAAGCAACATTCTCCATCCACATCGTCATGCGCTAATTCATATTCTAAAAGGTAGGTCTCATAATGTCTTTTCAGAGTATTTCCAACACCCTGTAGAAGAAGGCACAAAAACCCTTAGCTTCCAGTTCATTTCACATAATAAACAAACATTCAGTCAGAACATAATTTCTTCAGTAGTCAAAGAACTTCTCATCGGTGCAATCTTAACTTCTATGCCAATATAACTAACAATGTTTTAAAGAACCTATAACAGAGGCATAGCCAGCAACATATGATTATCAGTACTTAAACCAACGTCTAAGTCAAAGACCCAACCCATAAAATAAACTGATTGCGCCATTTTTAGTTTTTGGAATGAGGAACATAACAGAATACTGTAAAAGAAAGAAAGTATTAATTTAAGGTTCTTTCCGTCTAAGGTAGGGTGCAAGCAACACTCAGTTTTGGGACCAAATGAACTACTCAAGGTATATAGTCAACGCATAGAACTTACAGTCATCCTATTGGTAGTTGTGTAATTCCGCATCTTTGAAAAGATTTGCCCCTTCCAGTTGATGCCATTGCCAACATGAAATCCCCCTCTCGTAACCACCTAAAAAGACCAACAAATTGAGAAAGAAAATATACAAAAAAAAAAAGACTTATCCATAATCATTCTGAAAGAATAGAGTCATTAACTCACCTCTTTATACAAATTGTAGAGATCAAGACGTTTTCCATTGAGTATGGCATCAGGAAACTCAATAAGCCCTCCTTGAGGAATTAGGCGATTATGTCCCCGGAGAATTAGAAACTCCATGACGTCTTTAAGAAATTCCTCCTAATAAAGAAAGTTACAGGAATGATTAGGACAAAATTTCTTCATGGAATGCAGACCAAAAATCACTAAAAGGAAAACACGAAAAGCAAGAGATTTCTTTTTCTTTTGCTTTTTAAATATAGATTGTCATTGAATGTTTGCATCGTATATCAGTTGGCCCTTGGCCCAGTATGATTTAGCAATATTTAGGTCTTAGAATAACATTCTTTTATGAAATATTGATCCAAAAAGATCATTAATTAGAAAAGGAAGATCGTCCTTCTAGGATAGGCAATTAAAATTCACATCAATGTTAAAACCATATAAGAAAACTCTCTTTTCTGGATGACAGCAACCATTTCATCAACTTATGTAGTAATTTAGACGTTTCTATTTGAAGATTGTTACAATAAATAGTCTTGAATAGGATTTATAGTAGGTATTGTGTGTTTTGTGCTAGACCTAGTTCCTAGGTGTATCTTTTCGAATTCTCTTCTCTCTTATACATTGTATCTTATGTATGACAGGTTATTATAAATATGAAATCCTAAGAGGGGAAAACACACTCTAAAACTCATTCTAATTCCTCTGTATTTTTCTCAAGTAAGCTAATGCTATATTCAAAATCAAAACAGAGCACAATACTCGAGTTGTATATATTTAAAAGAAATAATCCCTATAATTAGAATTTTTGAATAAAAAATTGTCATGTAGCCATAGGTTACAGTTCATCAAATTATCTTAAAACAATGGACAAAGGAAAACTAACCTCAGAGCACGTCTGAACTGGGCCTCTACCGCAACCATGCTTCTTAAGAGGCAATGGGTTCAATGAAATAACCTGCTTAGATTGAGCTGCACTTGAAAATGATTTTCTGTGTGTTGCAGATGTTGACCCAGTACTCCGCTTTGCTGGGGCAACAAGTGGCAAATTAGCCTCAACTTGGGCACCATTAAAACCGTCTGTCTCAGAAGGTCCACAAAAAGGTGTCATTCTATGGCGACGAATGTGAGGGATTGGCCTCATTGCAGATACTTTTAATCTCTGTCTAGCAGGAGTTAATGGGGTGCTAATGCCATTCGCCATTTTTCTATCCTTTTCCTCTTCATTTACTTTACAAACAGCACCGTGCCCTGCAAAGACACCGTCATGAACACCAGGGCTAGCCCCTTGGCTTGGTTCACACCTTTTTCTTCTAGGAGGGGGTGGTTTCAACCAACCAGGAGGATTGCTAAATATTATATTATTTTTGCTTGTACCACTATCTTTCTCACAATTTTGATAAAAGAAAAGTAGACGCTCAGCATCATCTTTCTCGAAAGAAGCTATAGGCAACCCCTGAATACTAGCAATACCGAGTGCAACTAAACTTCGATACGAAACCTCAGGTGCTAGCTGTCTCAAAATCTGAAGGGAGCAACAAGACAAGCAATTATGAATCCGAATAACAACGAATATGCCTAATGTACAACTCCAATTCTTATAGGATGCAAACTTTGGATACTGAACTTAACATCCATGTATTTATGAAAAAGTCCTTGTCACTGTTTGAGTTCGTTCATTATTAGCCATGCAAATGTAAATTATGCAATTTGAAAATAGGATAAGCAGATATGTCAAAACCGTGTGATTAGTAGGGACAATGATTACTGCTTGAAAGAATAAAAACGATAAATGCCAGTGTGCAAATCTTTGGTTATCTTAGATTATTAGCCATGCAAATGTAGATTATCCAATTTGAAAACAGGTTACGCAGGTAGGTCAAAACAGTGTGATTAGTAGGGACAATGATTACTTCTTGAAAAAATCATA